GTAACACGACCTGAACATGGATTTTCTGACTAGAGGCTCTTCTGATGATAAGGCTGACCCCAAATATTATTATAATAGCAAAATAAAACTCAGGAACAAGGCCATTTGTTAAGAGGAAGATGGAAATTTGTACTTTTTAAAATTGAAATGAAAATCAGTTATATCTGAAAAATATCTGATCTAATTATTGTGTTTTTTGTTTTTTTTGTTTTTTTTTTACATCCCAAATCTCCAGAGTCGATTGAGTTCGCTGAAATACCAGAGGTGAGTCTTTTCAGATGTTAAAAAATTTGTCTAATTTATGTAAGAATTATATTAGTCTTTTTAAGGGTGTAACAGAACACAGAAAGTCACGGTTCAGTAAGTACTTTATTTTTGAGGTCACAGTTCGGTTCATTTTCCATACAGTATGAGAACAAAATGCAAAACCATTTGTGTTTTTATTAAACCAACAATTCGCTTTAACTTTATACAAATGGGAAAATAAAATAAATGCAACGTGCTGCTTGGTAAACTAATAAGTTCAATAAAATATTCTCAAATAAGCAACAAATGTTTGAAATATTATTTTGTTTAAAAGTGCAGCACGAACAGTTCCAGCATGAACTTTTACTCGAACTTAAGATTTTTGGCCAGAAAAAACAACTTGTCCACATTCTCTGCAGTAAGTACAGTAAGACAGCCGTAGTTTTGCGAGGATTCACGTGGTTTGGAGGGACGTAGTCAAGGCGAGGGGCAATTGTTTTCAAGGTGCCGCCCAAACTAAAGGCCTGTTTACACGAGAACGCAAAATATTTTATCAGAAGTGTCTTTTGTTTAGACCAGGGATGGGCAAACTATGGCCCGGGGGCCATATGCAGGCCCTTTAAACCTTTTAATCCGGCTCGCCGAACTTGAATAAATAATAATAATAAACCTTGTTAATGTTTTATTTTTCCTGCATTTCCGGCGTTTCTCAGTAGATGGCGCACTATATATACATTGAGGTGCGGCGGCTTCTGTTGGCCGCAATGCTTTATGGGAAAGTATTGACAGGAGTCATTTTCAGGCGGTGTATTCGGACCATGAATGAGGTAGAAGTGTTCAAGACATAAGACTGTCCCAATTCTGGTGTAAATGTGTACAAATTAAGCTTCAGTGCTGCAGTATGTCACCATATGAAACATGACATATAGAGCAAAGTCATTACAGTAACTTTGTGTTGCAGTGTCTGATAAGTTAGACATTAACCTTTTATATGTGAGTGAATTAGAAAGGTGAGAACATCTGTGATATACGTGGATGGAATAGCCATACGAGCCAGTGCCTAGTCCCCCAGATTCCAAAATGGCCGAGCATTCATATCAATGTGCAGAGCTCAATGGCGCGTGATCCCAGATTAGCCTAGCATGGCTAGGTACTTCCGGTGGCTGTGGGCCGACCGAGCATGCGCAGTAGTGCTCTTTTCTCCCACGGGCACACGCGAATGCACGCGACCAAACGCACGGAGCGCGGGCTCGTGTATCACGTGATCGTTTTGACCAATCAGAGCGAGAGGAGCTAGAGCAGAGCCGGAGCTAACGAATATAAAGCGCTTTTTTAAGACAACTGAAGGATTTTGACCGAGAAAAAGTTTATGATCTAAAAATAGGTAAAAATCGCCAACAAATCCGATATTTTTGAAAGCTGTAGGTCCCCGTCAGACGAACACGAGCAGTTTGTGATTACATTGCCTCTATGAGAAAAATCTTGTCTCGGCCCATGGGATTTTTTCTGCTGAAGTTCCAGTGAGTGACACTACGTCAACTGGAGGGAACTACAAGCAGCAATACTATATATCCAGTTATTTAGTGCCCGGTGACCTTATGCAGCCATTCAAACTGACCCACAGGACTTGACCAAATTATAATAAATAAACCTTACTGCTGTTTTATCTTTCTTGCATTTCCGGCGTTTCCCGGTAGATGGCGCACTATATATACATTGAGGTGCCGCGGCTTCTGTTGGCCGCAATGCTTTATGGGAAAGTATTGACAGGAGTCGTTTCGGGCGGTGTATTCGGACCATGAATGAGGTAGAAGTGTTCAAGACATAAGGCTGCACTGTTTCCACTTTAAATCTGTGTAAAACACAGTCATACATTTCAAACTCAATGTATTAGAGAAGTCGAAGTTTTGGGTAGGCAGTGGGTTAGCATGAGCACTGTGTAAGTGCACATGTTTGCTTTTGGTTTGCAGTGGGGCAGACCTCATTTTACTTTTCATGAGTTCTGGATCTTACATGTCTAAAAGTTGCAGCGCGTAGTACAGAATACGTCCTACATGAGGGTAAATACGAGTGCAATGGAGCCAGGCCCTGAACACGTCATGTCCCGTCTTCTGTTCGGCCCTCCAGTCAAATTTTAGAACCCTATGTGGCCCCCGAGCCAAAAAGTTTGCCCACCCCTGGTTTAGACGGTGATGGTGTTTTTGGGGCTTAAAAACACAAAAATCTGAAACCATCCTCCAGAGTGGAATAGTTGAACACACTCCACCATAGTGTTTCCGTCTACATCGAGACTGTCAAACATACGGCCCGGAGGCCAGATCTGGCCCTCCAAGACCTTTAATCTGGCCCTCGACTGATTTTCTACTAAAATAGTTTAATTATATTTTCTATTGAAATACCGTTAATTTTCTGTGGTGTTTAGCACAGCCGCGTCTCTGTACGTGGCTCCTCCCACCAGAGCAGCACAAATGAAGACTTGTCTCTTTCCAAACGCTCTTAAAGGACGATCGTTTTGACTGTTGACCGTGACACCCTCATCAGAAAAATGTCCAACATGAGAAAAGTGGACACTGAGTGCAGAATTTCCCAAGAAAAATTGACTTATTACTGACTTATTACTCCTATTTGCATACAAGTTCTGTTTAAACTTTGTGTTGAAATTGCATTTTTCTTAAAGTTTCAGGTTGTTCATAATATTATAATCAATTTTAAAAGATTTCTGTAATAGATTTGTGTTTCTCTGCACAAATATTTGAACTTGTTATTTTTGGGGTTTATATGCCATGAGTTTTCTGATCCGGACACTTTGGGATCAAAGTAGGTTGGATACGACCCCCGGACCAAAATGAGTCTGACACCCCTGGTTTACACTGCCCGAGATGCAAAACTCTGGTCAGATGTGCTCAGGTCGCGTACACGTTTATGTCACAAATATACAGTACGCAGAATCCCAACCCAATTGAATTCCAGACATGTTTGCGTCACCGTATACACGCAGATTTCCTCCCAAAAACGCTCGTCTAAACGCAGAGTAAAAAGTGAAGACGCAACGCCACTTTTGCATCTTCTGTTCAGACCCTCATCATGTAAACGTGGCCTCAAAAGCTGTGGGAAACACTGCCCCAATCACGGATGAGTTCCCACGTGAATATTAAAGTGCAGAGCCTCCTTGTAGCTGCACTTGTAGACACCGAACAAAACCCTGCATCGAATCCAACATCTCGTACCGAAGCAGTTCAGCACGAATACATGCACCCTTACACCCTTAATACCTTTTTATTTTATTATCATTTTGTGTCTTTTGTATCTTCCCGTCTGAGATAATTTGCTGAATGTCTCTTGCGCTCTCAAGAAAAGGAAACAAGAAAAAATAAATAGTTAGGTCTGAGCGTTGCAGATTTTGTATTTAATTTCACTTTATGAAAAAACAAAACAAAAAAGGCTTTAAATAATCATTTGACTTCCTAATCTTAAACAAGACTTAATTGTCGCCATTTAATGATCTTATATTACACAAAATGGACTCTTGTGAGCTTTAAGCCGTGTTTTAATCTTGTTACTTCCTTAGAAACAAACATCGAGATGTGGTTTCTTTCATTCACACGTTCGAGTTTCCTTTTATTCTATTAACATCAACGCCCAAATGCTCTGTACCGCCTTGTGTAGTTTTCAAGTTAACAACTACATTTTTTTTTTTACATTTTGACTGAAGAACTCTGCAGGGTTTAGTGTTAAAAATGTGTGAATGACATTATAAAATAGATCAGAAAACAGTGTCACATAGACTTTTTAAAGTATATTCCTGAACTGCAGTTTTGCACAACCTTAAATAAAATAAAAATAACAGTGTTTATGCTTTTTCAGAGAAACCACCTGTACGAGGAGGTCGCAGATGGGAACAGAGAAGCAGCTCCGGTCTACAGTCTGTTATCTGAGGACGAACCACAAAACCAGCCCCAGGTTAGATGCAAACTAAGTCACTTCTGTAAACTCTGTGTAGGAGACTGACCAACCATCACCAAGAAGAAACAAAAACAGGAACAAGAGAATCTGCTAAGAGGAAGTCTCATGTTTGGAAATTTACTCAGAATTTTTATAAGACTCAGAATGTACTAGTTATTTCTAGGTAAACTTTTATAGTAAATGCTCATCTCGTCTCCATGGAGATGGTATTGCTCTGATTTTGATTGACAGATTCATTTATTTCAGCCACAGGTCAATATATTTGTACATAAATATATTTAACACAGCGTGAGGTGAGTGAGTGTGGGCAAGAGGAAGTGCAGTAAAGTACTACAGTACAAACTAAACAGTACAGTAAAGTACTACAGTACAAACTAAACAATAACAGTACAGTAAAGTACTACAGCACAAACTAAAACAGTACAGTACAGTAAAGTACTACAGTACAAACTAAAACAGTACACTAAAGTACTACAGTACAAAATAAAACAGTACAGCAAAGTACTACAGTACTAACTAAAACAGTAACAGTACAGCCAAGTACTACAGCACAAGCTAAACAGTACACTAAAGTACTACAGCACAAACTAAAACAATACAGTAAAGTACTACAGCACAAACAGTACAGTACAGTACAGTAAAGTAGTACAGTACAAACTAAAACAGTAACAGTACAGCAAAATACTACAGTACAAACTGAACAGTAACAGTACACTAAAGTACTACAGCACAAACAGTACAGTACAGTAAAGTAATACAGCACAAACTGAGTATCATACTTCATGTATCTGCCCAGAGTTAAATATTTAAACTTCTTTTTAAAGTGGAACAGAAGTGCACAGTTTAATTTTTGTTCTGTACAATTATTCCAGGGGTCCACTCTTTAACACATATACAACATTTACAAAATTTATCTTGAAATGTCCCACAGTGCAGTATGAAACTCTAAAAAAAAAAGGTGAGGATGAGTCAGCCCCCATTTCTGTCCTGTGACCGAGACTTTTTTTTAGTATCAGCACCTGCTCAGATGAGTAAACTTGTATCTAGTTTCTGTTGTGTTGGTATCGATTAGTTTCTGGGTTTCTGTTCTTTTGACAAGTTGAATCTCCGGAGACAAACCGCTGGAGAAGTTACAGGTCAGAGCTTCTCTCAGTGAGAATACATCACTCAAGCTGTAGTTCAGAGACAGAACACACCTGTAAATGAACAGTGTTGGGAAGGTGACTTTTAAAATGTAATCCCCTACAGATTACAGATTACACACCCCAAAATGTAGTTTGTAACATAATCCATTAAATTACTTAAGAAGAGTAATGTAATCTGAATACTTTGGATTACTTGATTTGCTGTAGAGAAGCAAAGACGAGGAAATCTTCACATAAAATGTTTTGTCTGATAAAAGAAAATAAAAAAGTCCAGACTTTACTGAACCAAATTAAAAATATTATTGATAGAAGAAGAGGAAACACGGTCCACACAGCAGGATTTAGTCCTGGTTTAGACCTGGTTTAGTCCTGGTTTAGTCCTGGTTTTAGACCTGGTTTAGATCTAGTTTATATATATATATATATATATATATATAATATATATATATATATATATATATAATATATATATATATATATATATATATATATATATATATATAGCCCAAAATGGGCTATAAATAAATGTAATCTAATTACCACTCACTGAAACAGTAACTGTAACTGAATACAGTTACTCATAATTTGTACTCTGATTACATAACTCTGGTACATGTAATCTGTTACTCCCCCAACACTGTAAATGAATATATAGTAAGTAAGACTTTATTTGTAGATCACCTTTCACGGAAAATCACAAAGTGCAATAAACAACATGTACAAGAACAGAGGAATTACAGACACAGTCAACCAAAAACTTGTCTAAATAGTTGTGTTTTGAGCTGCTTTTTAAAAGAATCAGTAGATTCTGTCTCACAGAGGGCCGGGGACAAGGCGTTCCATTATTTGGGGGCCACAGCCTGAAAGGATTGGTCCCCCATGTTTTCAAGTGGGTTTTTGGGGTCATCAACAGGCCCTGACCTGAGGTGTAGGGTCGTAGTATGTCACTGATGTACTGGAGCGTCGGTCTAGTTAGAGCTGTGTAAGATTAAAATCATGATTTAAAACCAACACAGAACATAACAGGAAGCCAGTGCAGTGAAGATAAAATCGGTGTGATGTGTGTTTGCCTTTTAGCTCCTGTTAAAAACCTTGCAGTATTTTGTAGATGTTGTATCTGCTTAAGAGTGGATGTAAAGAGAAGAGAATTATAAAAATCTAAATGAGATGAAATAAAAAAAGTGGCCAATCAAGATCAGCATTTGAAAACATTGGTCTCATTTTTGTGATTTTCTGTAGCTGATAAAAATAGTTTTTAACCACTTGACTGCAGTGACTTAGCCTGATTCATTAGCCAGTTTCACTTCGTAGAAACCGTCTGACCTCACAGCATTAGGATTCACTCACTCGACAGTAGGCAGGTACTTTTTATCATTTAACCAATCACTGCTGTTTGGTCGTGACGTATGTAATGCGCCACTAACGGGGCTAACTGGTATATTAAGCTTTTCCCAAATCCTGTATGAAGAAGAACAATAACGTTTTTCTCCTTGATGAAATTCACCAAACATTCTCTTTGTTCTGGCTTTAAATCCTCGATCTCGGGAATTGTTGACAACACAGAATGTCTGTCACTTCGCTGATTGGCTGGTGCCCGAACTCACACTTCCAGGGTTCTTGCAAACCATCTAGTGTATTCTGATTCCTGACCTAGTCTCTGGAGAGAAATGAAATTGAGTGGAGGCACTAGGTGGCACCAGTCTGGCTGCAGTGACCCTCCAAAGACATTGAGTTGTCCAACAACACTCCCAGATTTAGGGAACTGAGGGGCTCCGTGATCTGACACTAAAATAAGAGTTTCTGTTTTTCCATCATAAGTTGCAAGACGTTTTCAGAAGGTTTTTTTTTTTATATAAGAGAAGCACTGCAGAAGGGTTTTAGCCTGTCCATCTCTGTTTCTTTAAAATAACAATACAATTGTTTGACCTCAGTGTACAAATGATACGACTTATGCTTGAAATGAGTCACGATTTGACCAAATGGAAAAATATACGTCAGAAAAAGAAGTGGCCCCAGGATTGACCCTTGCAGGACTCCATAGGTCAACAGTGACACTTCAGACACGACATTATTGAGAACGGAAAACCAGTGTAGGACTTTCCCACTGATTCCAAAGTCTCTGTGCAAACGATGCAGAAACATTTTGTGGTCTAAGCCGATGTGAGGTCTAACAAAACCAACACTGTACAGAGACCAGAGTCCAGCCAGAGTCCAGAGACATCACAATATCAGCTGAGACCTTCAGACTGCAGAAGCCTGACTGGAATTTATCGAAAAAGTTATCAAAATGTAATATAATAGATGGAAAGGTAAACAATGCCATACTGTGGAACATTCTAGGCAACGAAAATACATATTAATGAGACCAACAGGTGGCAGATGCTCCTTGAGAAAAGTTACATAGCGCATCTTTAATTCTGATTTCAAATTTTACAGATATGACACGTTTATATTTGACATGCAAGATCATACATATTTAACTACTGTAATTAGAATAAAATGTAAATAAAGCATATTAGTGACATTTAGTCTTTGTATCACTGGAGTTATAATTCCATTCTTTGTGTCATCAGGTGGAAACCGAGTACTCTGAAGTGAATTTTACCGAGAGCAGCAGCAGCAGCAGCGCCCCCAAGTGTCAGACCGAAGAAAGTGCAAGTCAAACTGTTCTGTACTCCACCATCACGTCCCTGCAGCAGTGACGACAAAGAAAATGTTAAACTCAGCGTGACAAAGAATATTTCTACTCATATTCACTCACAGAAAACTGAGAATACTGAACACCTGCAGAAACATGATAGACGATCCAATCAGAGTACTGTATTTTTCGGACTATAAGTGCCACTTTTTTTCATGGTTTGAGTGTTTCCTGTGACTTATACTCCGGTGCGACTTATATATTAAAATTTTCACACTGACAGCCACAAGAGGGCGCTCTAGACTTGTGTGTCCTCATCTGTTCCTCCTGTACCACTCTCACTTGGTTCTACTGCGCATGTCTCCTGCAGAAAAAGCCGCTGTCCTGCTACAAGTAGTGAAATGTGCAGCCAAAAAAATAACGGTAATCGAGCCGCAGAAAAACTAAGTTTGGAGTGAGCGAGAAACTTGTGAGGGACTGACGGAAAGCGGGGATGGAGAACATAGAGAACCAGGAGGATGCACCATGCGACTTTCCTGAAGTCACCGGATGGATGGACAAAGCCTGGACTTCAGTGACACCGAAACCATCCTGTCAGGATTCAGAAAAGCCGAGGAGGAAATAGGAAGCGGCGCTCCGTTTAGCTCCGGAGGTCGTGCAGAAGTGTACGGAAGCTGAGAGGGGTCACAACAAACGCAAACGCTGCCACAAATACAAATGTGACAACACAACAAAAAGCCACAACACATTAAAAAGCCACAACACATTAAAAAGCAACAACAGAAATGACCGCGGAACTCTATTTTAATGAAAACGCCACAACAAATACAAATGTTACAACTCAAACGCAAATGCCACAACATATTAAAAAGCCACAACACATCAAAAAGCCACAACACATCAAAAAGCCACAACGGAAATGACCGCGAGACTCTATTTTAATGAAAACGCCGCAACAAATACAAACACCACAACATATTAAAAAGTCACAACACATTAAAAAGCCACAACACATCAAAAAGCCACAACGGAAATGACCATGGGACTCAATTTTAATGAAAACGCCACAACAAATACAAACAACACAACACATTAAAAAGCCACAACACATTAGAAAGCCACAACACATCAAAAAGCCACAACGGAAATGACCGCGGGACTCTATTTTAATGAAAACGCTGCAACAAATACAAACGTCACAACACAAACGCAAATGCCACAACACATTAAAAAGCCACAACACATTAAAAAGTCACAACGGAAATGACCGCGGGACTCTATTTTAATGAAAACGCTGCAACAGATACAAATGCCACAACACAAACGCGAATGCCACAACACATTAAAAAGCCACAACACATCTAAAAAGCCACAACGGAAGTGACCGCGGGACTCTATTTTCCGATGAACCGATCAAGTGGCAAATGAAGAAGAAGAACTACAACTTGAAAAGTAAAGGTCCATCGGAAAATAGAGTCCCGCGGTCACTTCCGTTGTGGCTTTTTAATGTGTTGCTGCATTTTAATGTGTTGCAGCATTTGCGTTTGTGTTGTGGCGTTTGTATTTGTTGCGGCATTTACATTAAAATAGAGTCCCGCGGTCATTTCTGTTGTGGCTTTTTTTGGTGTGTTATGGCTTTTTGTTGTGTTGTGGCTTTTTGTTGTATTTGTTGCAGCGTTTGCGTTTGTTGTGACCCCTCTCGGCTTCCGTAGAAGTGACACCGAAGATGAAGAATTGAATGGATTTAGCGATTTGGAGTGAGATGGAGAGTTTGTTAAACTTGTTCTGTTCTGTTGTTTATGTTATAGTTTATCTGAAGAACTGTTCATATGTGACGTTAACAGTCTGTTTTTCTCTCTTCTGTAGTTTTTACTAGAACCGGTTCCTGGTCTCTGATTTTATAAAATATAAAAAAGAGTTGATCACAAATAAAAATTGCAAATACTAAACGTCAATTTAAAGTACTCCTGAAAAGACGTTTTATTGCGCAGTGCAATGCAAATGGATCTAAAGTGTCACGTTTTAAAATGAAGATGAAACGGACTGTAACTGTGGACTTGAATCATGAACTATAGGGATCCACAGATAATACTCCCTACAACTGTACAGCAACTCACACTTATGCAACAGATAATACTCCCTACAACTGTACAACAACTCATGCTTATGTAACAGATAATACTCCCTACAAAAGTACAACTCATCCTTATGTAACAGATAATACTCCCTACAACTGTACAACAACTCATGCTTATGTAACAGATAATACTCCCTACAACTGTACAACTCATGCTTATGTAACAGATAATACTCCCTACAAAAGTACAACTCATCCTTATGTAACAGATAATACTCCCTACAACTGTACAACAACTCACACTTATGCAACAGATAATTCTCCCTACAACTGTACAGCAACTCATGCTTATGTAACAGATAATACTCCCTACAACTGTATGACAACTCACCTTTATGTAACAGATAATACTCCCTACAACTGTACAACAACCCGCCCTTATGTAACAGATAATACTCCCTACAACTGTACAACAACCCGCCCTTATGTAACAGATAATACTCCCTACAACTGTACAACAACTCACCTTATGTAACAGATAATACTCCCTACAACTGTACAACAACTCGCCCTTATGTAACAGATCAATCTGTCAATCATATCATTTTTGCACTTTTGTCTTCTTTATGACCTCTTGTATAACTGATTTTTTATATATATATAACTTATTTGTCTATTTTATTTTGACTTGTACATTTACATATAGTTTTTACTCTTTGTTATTATATTCTATTGTGATGTGTGAGTTACTGAGTCCAAATAATTTCTCTTGTGGATCAATAAAGTTTGTCTAAGTTTAAGTCTAAGAAGGAAAAATTACATGTGCCCTTACCACAAAAGCAGTATTTTCAATTTTTTTCCCTCTAGTTATGTACAGTTTGAAGCCTGAATTGTGTGATCAAATACTACTATCTATTCCTTTCATTTTAGGAAAGTCTGTTGTATTCTGAATATCTGTAAATATACTGTATGTATCTGAATTTTAATGCTTTATTGTCATGCCACTGTAGAGCGTAAGTGTTTTTATTTCTTGGTAGTAAGAGAGAAGCAATACATCATAATAAAAATGTTAAAACAAGCTTCACAAGTCGAGTAAGGTTTATTTGTGTCTTATCTGTGTTAAAGTGCATTGTGTAACTTTTTCTGGTGGACTGTCTGTCACGTGGAGGTAGCAAAAGGAGGACCGGAATAGACTGGGAAATGGAGCTGGACTCAGTGTTGAAGTTACTCGTCTCATTCAAGTCGACCTTAGTCTAATCGACAAGTAATGCGCTTTTTTCACCCTGAAAGTCACTGTTACTTTACCACAATCATTAAGAGCCACAAATGTACAGCTGTGAGTAAAGTAGGGTCTAAACTCGGATCCAGGAGGAGCAGTGTGGATTTCGTCCCGGTCGTGGAACACTGGACCAGCTCTACACTCTCCATCGGGTGCTCGAGGGTTCACATGTGCTTTGTGGACTTGGAGAAGGCATTCGACCGTGTCCCTCGTGGTGTCCTGTGGGGGGCGTTCTGAGAGTTTGGGGTCTGGGCTCTTTTGCTAAGGGCTGTCTGGTCCCTGTACGACTGGAGCAGGAGCTGTGTTCATTGGCGACAGTAAGTCAGACCTGTTCCCGGTGCATGTTGGATTCCGCCAGGGCCGCCCCTGTCACCGGTTCTGTTCATTGTAATTATGGACAGAATTTCTAGGCGCAGTCAGGGGCCGGAGGGGGTCCGGTTTGGGGACCGCAGGATCTCGTCTCTGCTGTTTGTAGATGATGTTGTCCTGTTGGCTCCATCGAACCAGGACCTGCAATGTGCACTAAGGCTGTTTGCAGTCGAGTGTGAAGAGGCTGAGATGAGGATCAGCTCCTCCAAGTCCGATGGTGGCCATGGTTCTCGACCGGAAAAAGGTGGCTTGTGGAGGAGTTCAAGTATCTCGGGGTCTTGTTCTCGAGTGAGGGGAGGATGGAGCGTGAGATTGACAGGTGGATTGGTGCAGCGTCGGCAGTGATGCGGTCGCTGTATTGGTGAAGAGGGAGTTGAGCCGTAAGGTGAAGCTCTCGATTTACCATCAATCTACGTTCCTCCACTCAGCTATGGTCATGAGCTCTGTTTAATGACTGGAAGGATGAGATCGCAGATACAAGCGGCTGAAATGAATTTCCTCCGCAGGGTGGCTGGGCGCTCCTTTAGAGATAGGGTGAGGGGCTTAGTCACACGATAGGAGCTCAGTGTAGAGCTGCTGCTCCTCCACATCGAGAGAAGCTAGCTGCTTCTGTGGAAGATGGATGTATATGTCAATCACTACAAGGGTAGTTTATTGATGTCCCTAAGCAGCATACTTGGCGGGGCTTTGGAATGCAGTTCCCTGCACCAGGCTAAAGCCAGCGGGACACAGACAGTGGAAACTTGCGCTGTTGTTGCACAGGCGAATATCCAACGTCCAACGTGAAGATACAGACTCAGGAAATAGCGAAACTAATGAGGTGGCTTCAGTCTTCACCTCTTGTGCATGCAAATTTAAATTGCAGCATCTCATCCACATTATCCATGGAATTTGTTCTCCGTAAATAATGACCCACAAAACAGAGCTTTGAATCCAGTTTGAGTCGTTCTTTAAAAGTAAAAAGGTGGGAGTAGTTCCTCACGTGTGTCTGTTTACATCCACACAGCGCACGGATCGAGGTGAAGCTGCAGAATAGCGACAGTGACTAATTCCTGTGGACTTTATCTCCTGCCATTTGTGCTTTAAAAATCCTGTATCTGAAGTTTTGCACCACATTTCAAATGTACAAATGTAATTGTACTTTTTTGCTGTATATAGATTGGAAAGAAATGACTTAACTTAGACTTGGACAAACTTTATTGATCCACAAGGGAAATGACTTGGACACAGGAGCTCAAACATCACAATAAAATATAATAACAAAGAGTAAAACATATAAATGGTAATAATAAATTACCATAAATAAAATAAATTCTAAATAAGGTGTCACATAAAGCATAATTATATAAATGTTTTAGTAACAGTCAAAATAAAAGACAAATAAGTAATAAAAAATCTATATACAAGAGGTGGTAAGGAAAACTGTATCTATGGACTAATCGAATAATCTTGACACCTCTAGTTTCATTTTATACCATGTTTAGCTCTAATTTAGGCCTGATAAAGTCCAGGTTTAGATCTGAGAAAGCGAAATATGATCTCAGGTGGTACTTGCTGAGAAACACTGGACTCAAAATCTAAACCACTGCAAACAAGGGACATGATGTGGAACTGACTTTTATCAACTGCTAATTCTTAAAACTGTGACCCCTTATTATCTTACCCAAAGTTGGATTTCGATTGATTCCTGTATGTTTGAGTAAAACTGTATTGTCCTACATTTGAGGCTCAGAAAATCCCTGTTTTTCTTACCCATTATCCCCACCCAGGAGCCGTCTTACCTATTCTAAAATGTCACATAATCACCATCTAAAAGACCCACAATGATGACGTTGTACGAGTGTGAAGTGCCACTGTGACGAGGTGTGGACATTCAGCTCTGCAGTTTGAACAGGAAGTCAATGCTCTCATTTCTATTATTAAATCGTTTTAGATCAGTGTTACAGATTAGGATGAACTTGATATTTTCAATTGTTATTTCATTATAAGAAAACAGGAGGAGCTTTTTCTCTCACTGCTGTTGTGTGTCTCGTCCACCAGGGGGCAGTGTGTGCTGAGTCCACAGTCAGACGGTGCTGTAGATTTGGTTTGGGTCCATGGTGTCCACACAGAGACTCTGGTAAGTGCAGTCTGCAGATTCCCTCACTGCGCTCGTGTTCTCGTACGCTTCAGTCTGAAATTTAAGAAATAAAAGTCAGGGTTTAGAGTCAGAAGTAGAAATGTGTGTAGAGCTCACCTCTGTTCTGGAGCGTCTCGGTTCCTGATCTGTTGAACACAAAGTGGAGACATGTCTTATTTTGTTTCACTTTAGAGATTCCACCACAGAAACACAGACGACATGGACCAACAGGGCTAACCACTCTGCCACCAGCCCCTTCACCGGACTCACCGTTTTGTGTTTTCTTCTTCCTGCAGATCAGTAACAGCGGCACTGAGGTCATCACCACGGCGACAGGGATCAACAGGAGCCACAGCAGACGACTGGGACCTGACCAAGCGTCCACATGGAACAATAAATGACAGAAGGAAAGAGATGGATGATACTCGTGACAGTCATATTTACCTCTAAAAACTTCAGTCTGAAATTCTACTGAGTTCCAACACGCAGGATTTAAGGTTTTAAATATTGGTCAAATTCAATGCTCAAAATTCTCACAATCATTTTTACAGAAGAACTTTTGTTTTGGAGAGTTATAAAACACATTTTCTGCACTGGTGAGTTTCTCTTCCACCGCACTGTTCAACACTTGAGTCAGAGTTAAAGGACGACTGGCAGTGCTCGTTTCCATCTGCACTTTCTGCAACTTTATGGTCTCTTCTTGAATGTTGATCAATGATATTGTTGGGTCTGTTCTTACTTTAGCCACGTTCACACCAAACGCAAATGGTGCGAACAAGGCCAACGATTTACATGTTAACCCAATGTAAAGGAGCACTGACACACAAATGATGCGAGTTGAGCAGCATGATTTGTGCGTTTTGTGCGTTTTGAGCAGAGCCTACACCAGACTCTGTCCCCCTCTCCTTTATTGTGGTCCCGGTCTGGTTCCAGTCTGGTCTCAGTCCCGGTCTGGTCAGTCCTCTCGATGTGTCCAACTCCACCATTTTTCCAAATGAAACCAGATGCAGAGGACTCTACACAGCTGCACTTGATCCTTCTGGAGCGAATAGATCAGATTTACACGCACGACCAAATTCCCAATCTCGAGCGATCAGTACGCGAGAATGAAACAAATGACTCCAAAAAGTCAAGCGGCAAACTAGGGGCATTTGACACAGTTTATTCGCACCATTCACGTTCGGTCTGAACGCGGCTTTAAGGTGACATTCCATAGGCCATGGCTCTAAAACATTCATTTCAATCCCAGGAGTAATTCAGACAAGATAAATAATCATGGTCTCATGTCATGTGACATGTGACACCATCACCAATAATTAAATAAATATTATAGTTACTATAATAGTTACTGGTGGCGGTGACACTTGTATTTGGATGTTTTCAGTAAATAAAAGCTGTTGACTGTTGGACTCACACTGACTTACACAAAGCACAGAGTTTACCTGCAGACCCTGTAGGTGTGACAAATGTATTGTAAGAACAAATGAAAGAGAACAGAGATAAGTTAAATGTCATACTAAAGAATTCATATTTCCACAGAGACAAATACTAGTAGGTGATGAGCCTCCACCAGAAAGTTACATAATGCATCTTTAAGTGTACCTTCTTTGACATCCAAATAAGTTGATTCTTCGATAACGAGTCCTAAAGATGAATCATATCCACAGAAATACAGCCCAGTGTCTAAAGAGTTCACTGAGTTAATCTTGAGGAAGACGTGAGACGAGTTGGAAGACACTGAAAATCTTTGGTCTGCAGATAAAACAACATCAGAAGACCTGATTATGCCTGAAATAGTTCTGAGTGTGGATCTCGTCACAGCTCGATACCAAAAGATTGTAGAGGGTTTAATGGTGAAGTTTGAGCAGAACAGAGTGACACTTTGCCAGACTGGACTTCAACTGACCTCGACTCTGAGCCCAAGACACACGATAAACCTGCAGCAATACAAGCACTGAAAAGTATTTTATCGTATCCACGGAGGTGAAAATGTGATAAAACATCGACTTACTGATACTGAAGAGAAGAACTGTTGAAGAGAAGCTCGTCATTCTGAATCTGCAAAGGCAAACGCAGCACCGGACGGACTGGAGTCTTGTCTGTCTGTCTTATCTGTCTTAATTTACCACATGTGGGAACACGTCTGTCACTTGGTAATAAACATACAGAAGTTGTGAAACATACGGAAGTGCAAAGTCATGAGAGAAAGAGACCAGATAGGGAAATAATTTATATATTTTGAGAAGGAATTTAGAACTCAACATGTTTTAATCTGAGAAGATCAGATACTAAAACACTGAAGCTTAAATCTAAGTATCATTGTGTTTTTTTAAGGTTCACTTTACTTCCAAACACTTTCTGCAGTCATCAGTTTGAACACAAGCTGTGGTGGAAGATAATCAAGTACAAAAGTAAAAATACAATGCTGAAGTACAATTTTTAGGTATCATTTACTTTCACTCAGTGGTGGAGCATCAGGGTTTGCAAGTCCTTCTCTGCAGGCCTAAAAAAATATCTGAATCACAGACTGATGTTAATTATATTATTAAATATTTCCAAATGGTCTGTCCTCTTCCTTTCAGAGCTTTTCTGATGTTTGTGCTGCTTCCAGACATGGATTTTCATATTAAAGCATTTGACCAATCACATTTCAGACGTCACTTGTTACTGGGCAGAGTCAAAGTCAAAGAAGTGTCCCTGAGTCCTTCACAATCTGTTCTGCAGGAACTCGGACACAAAATAAATGTCCATGAAACTGTTGCTTCAACCAATCAGATTTTGAGTTGGTGTCGTCAGGACCTTTAACAGCGAACAACAATGACACCGGATTCACACCTGTGATTGGACAGAGAGAAAAACAGACAAACCAGCAAACTGCATCTGTAGCGGAACCAGGACTAAACCAAGTCTAAACCCGGACTAAACCAGGACTATACCAGAACTAAATCAGAACTAAACCAGGACTAAATCAGGACTAAAAAAGATCTAAATCAGGACTAAACCAGGACTAAACTAGGACTAATCTTGGACTTGAGCAAGAGCAAAAGAGGGTGTCTGCAAAACATGATCGGGCGACTGCTGCACTGAGCCCCGTGCGGCTGCCGGGGCCGGAGATCTGTGCAGCGCAGAGCCGAGCCTCGTGTAGCGTGGAGCCCCAGCCCCAGCGCAGTCCTTTTGTCTGCGGTCACGCGACAGTCTACGCGGGCGCACCTTCGGGTCAGTCCCGACAAACAGTCCTGGTTTAGTCCTGGCTTAGTCCTGGCTTAGTCCTGGCTTAGCGCCCCCCTCTCCTGACTTCTATGTGCACGGAATCTCCACGGCTCTTTATACTGTGTATAATGTAACTATAAAATAGTTCTTGAGGAGTGGATTGTTTCAGACGGAGCACTACTGAAGGCCGAGCTGCTTTCACTTCACTACATTTGAGAGCATGTATCTGTACTTTCTACTCCACTACTGAAAAGTAAAAAGTACTTTTCCTTATGGTTTGAGACCTGCTGAAAAGGCCGAGACTTATTTTTTAGCACTTTTAATTTGAGTTAACGTCACAATTTTGAGCAAACCAAACGCACAAAAACAGAAAATAGCGAGAAAAATGAACAAATCAATTGAATTTCTTAAAATCTGCTAAAGTCTTGATCAAAATCACTACATTTCATCCTTTAATTGTTCTAAAACTCTACTTTTTACTCTTTAAGTACATTTTTAAACATGTACTTTTACTTAAATATACTTGTCCATGCAATACTTTTACTTTTACTTGAGAACTCTTTTGCCCCGGTATCTGTACTTTTACTTAAGTAACAAAATTGAGTATTTCATCCACTACTGAACAAAAGTAAGAGGACAGTTGTATTATTTTAAGCATTTTTACCTGAGTGTCGATGTTTGGGTCTTGTCCTGGTGGTACATTAGTCTTCCGTGGACTGAGTGCTGTCATAGTTTTGTGTTTTGTCAGTTTTCTCACCTTATTTTTCTCACACACCACGTCTCTTTCTGTGAGATCAGCTTTAGATGCACAAAAGAGGAACAAGTTTTTCTCTCTCTTCTGTATTCAAAGTTATTTTCTATATTGTCTATATTACATTATTCCTTTATATTTTTATGTGTTTATTATTCTTTATTATTATTAAAAACTTTACTTAATTTACTTAATAATTTTACTTTTACTAACTTAACATAAGAATGTCAAAGGAGAAATTCTATTTGTCAACTCTACAAAAGTTTTTTTTTTTGGATTGGATACGTTTCTCAGCTCATCCAAGTTTTTTCAGTTCTGGTCAGACTGAGAGCTAACTACACTGAAACTACTCTGAAACTAACACATCTACCTCACTCAGTGCATTTATTATCTTACCCAAAGTTCTATTTCGATTGATTCTTGTGTGTTTGAGTGATCCTCTATTGTCCTGCATTTGAGACTTTGAGATTTGAGACTGAGAAAATTCCTGTTTTTACCTGCCCCTTATCCCCGCCCACTTATCTGTAAAGCAGAGTTATAGGGCAGTAGGGTCTAAAATGTCACATAACCACCTTTAAAAAATAAAAGAAGAAGTGTGGCCGTTCAGTTCTGTGGTTTTGAACAGAAAGTCAATGTTCCCGTTTCTATTAAGTTTATCTGTTTATTAGATCAATTTTACAGGTTACAAAGAACAAAACTGATGAGAAAAATGAGCCACTTCTGTTGAACTTGATATTTTCAATTATTATTTCATGAAACGCACAAACAAACACACATGTGCAGTGATCTATACACAGCTCTATTAGCTCATGTGATATTGTACAGAATGGAGCCAGTTCTGTTCCCAAAATGACACAGAAAAACAGAAGGAGCTTTTTCTCTCACTGCTGTTGTGTGTCTCGTCCACCAGGGGGCAGTGTGCGCTGAGTCCACCGTCAGACGTCGCTGTAGACTTGGTTTGGGTCCATGGTGTCCACACAGAGGCTCTGGTAAGCGCTCATGTTCTCGTACGCTTCAGTCTGAAATTTAAGAAATAAAAGTCAGGATTTAGAGTCAGAAGTAGAAATGTGTGTAGAGCTCACCTCTGTTCTGGAGCATCTCGGTTCCTGATCTGTTGAACACAAAATGGAGACACGTCTTATTATGTTTCACTTTAGAGATTCCACCACAGAAACACAGACGACATGGACCAACAGGGCTAACCACTCTGCCACCAGCCCCTTCACCGGACTCACCGTTTTGTGTTTTCTTCTTCCTGCAGATCAGCATCAGCGGCACTGAGGTCATCACCACGGCGACAGGGATCAACAGGAGCCACAGCAGATCACTGGTATCTGACCAAGCGTCTACATGGAACAATAAATGACAGAGGAAAGAGATGGATGATACTCGTGACAGTCATATTTACCTCTAAAAACTTCAGTCTGAAAGTCCACTGAGTCCACAAACACTGATCTGAAACACAATTCACATCTGTATGATCCAGAGTCAAACCTGCTCAGATCACTTAATCCAAAGTGCAGGATTTAAGAAGAAAGGGGCAGAGCTGTCAACCAATCACCAGCTGGTGGTGAGTTGGATCCGCTGGCGGAGGATGAACCCGGAAAGACCTGGCAGACCCAAGCATATCGTGAGGGTCTGTTGGGAACGTCTGGTGGAGTCCTCTGTCAGCAGGATTTTCATCTCACCTCTCCGGGAGGGCTTCTCCCAGATCCCGGGGAGGTTGGGGACATAGAGTCCGAGTGGGCTCTGTTCTCCACCTCCATTGTCAATGTGGCCGCTCGTAGCTGTGGTCACAAGGTCCCCTGTGCCTGTCGTGGCGGCAATCCCCAAACCCGGTGGTGGAGGCCGGAAGTAAGGGATGCCATCAGGCTGAAGAAGGAGTAGGTCAATCTGCGTTCCTACTTTCACCTATGATCATGAGCGTTTGGGTAATGACTGAAAGAACAAGGTACAAAGATACAAGCAGCTGAAATGAGTTTCCTCCTCAGGGTGGCTGGGCGCTCCCTTAGAGATTTATTTATTTTATTTATTTATTTATTTATTTCGGTCACAGGTATATTATGACATTAATTCATAAACAGTCATATTTAACATATACAGACCGAAAAGGTGCAGGCTGAAGCTTAAGCTTATTATGCCTTTACCCTTTATTCCTTTGTCAGAGCGTCGTCTTGACACCAGTTCATCTTCATAAATACAGCAGGAAGAAACAAGCTAATCAGTAACAGAACAACAAAGTTCTACAGCACAAACTAAGTCTCATATTTCATGTATCTGTCCAGAGTTAAACATTTAAACTTCTTTATGAAGTGAAAGAAAGTGGTGCACAATTTTAGGTTTTCTGTACAGTTGTTCCAGAGCTCCAGCCCTTTAACAGATATACAAAATTTCATAATGTTTGTTCTGATTTTCTTTTTAATAAACATGGTCGTGCCTCTGAGC